GCTTTTACAAAAGCCAAAACCGGTTCTGGTAAACTTTATCTGAATGTATATACATGTATTAGAGTAGTAGCAAGTAATATAGTAACCATTATCTGGGGGAAGTCCATTTCTACTTGCTTTTCTTTTAATGTGCATTTGGCTTTTGGTTCCCAAACTCTCATTTCTATTGTATGTACATTCATGAATCTAAACCTCTTCTTCAAGAAGTGGCTTTTACTGACAACTGATCTACACTCTGTTCTTCTCTCAGCTAAAAAGTTCACTCCTTCAAGGTACATAGGATACAGAAAACTTGCCTCATATGTCTAGACTTAGGCTAGTAGTAGTCTAATGGCTCTTCATGTAAAGCTACTAAGATCTGAAGTAACCAATGAAAAAACGAACTCGATGAACTTAATCTTTGATTTTGGTTATTGCAATAGGAGGCTAATAATCATGACAAATTATGACTAGTTTTACTTTTAATCTTTTAGTAATCACCAATTAAAATTCAACAATGAAAAGAAGATTAAAAAAAAAAACCACGAAGGATCTGATCTTTTTAGAGATGATTCAACTCTCCATAGACCCGTGCTAGGATTCGGACAGAAGGCAAACTAATAAAACCTTTAACCGGTCGGCTCAGATAAATAATTGGGCCTCAGTCCGGGTCGGTTATTTAGATTGGACACTCGGGTAATTAAACACCCGACCCGCTCAGCTATTCTCTGTCGAACGAACTGGTCTCGGATCGAATTCCGTTCTGTTCTTTAGCTTCCTCGGCAGCGAACGCAGAGAGATTTGAAGGATGAATCCATTGACGCTGGTGAAGCGGATACAGAGTATAAACGCTAAGGAATCAGATCTCGGGATTTCTGAAGAAGCATCGTGGCACGCCAAGTACAAAGATTCTGCTTATGTGTTCGTCGGAGGCTTAGCTTACGAACTCACCGAAGGTGATCTCCTCGCCGTTTTTGCACAGTAAGTAATTGCTTTAGAACTGTTTCAGTAGTGTTGTGAATCCTCTTCATATATTTTGTTGGGTTGTTTTGTGGATTTGTAGATATGGGGAAGTTGTTGATGTCAATCTTATTCGAGACAAAGGAACTGGTAAATCCAAGGGTTATGCATTTCTTGCATATGAAGATCAAAGAAGTACCATTCTCGCTGTTGGTTAGTCAAAACCCTACGTTAATGTCTCTCTACACTGGTTCTTAAGGTGTTGTGTTTTGAAATACTTACTTGGATTTTTTGATTTTGAAATTTCAGATAATCTGAATGGAGCTCAAGTGTTGGGGCGGACCATTAGGGTGGACCATTGTAGCAAATACACTAAGCG